CTGAAGGCATCCACAAATGCATGGCACCCACAACCACCCACACCAACCCAAATAAGAATCAATAGTAATAAATCTTAAAATCAATTCAGGAAAAGGTTAAACAGCTGCTGGCGTTTGGCAGTGGGATTGCATCACTCTGGACTGGTTGCCCTGGTGTATTTTCTAAGGAACACAGTGCTGGCTAAGACGCCCTACTCAAGACCAAGCACTGCACAGCTGAAACCTCAGCTAGAGGCCACTGCAGAAGAGAACAAGGTGAAGCACGGGGTGGCGGTGTGTTCACCAGAGACCCTTCTCTGGAAACTTCCAGAAAGGACAGCATGTGAAAAACAGAACACAGAGCTCTAGACACAAAAGGAAAGCACTGGTGCTGCTCTCAATGGACTCTGAGGCCAAAATAAGGCCGGGGGACATGAGCTATAATAACAATGTGCACACTGAGGCCATTCATCCAACAGATCTTTATTGAGCACCTATTCTGTGCCCAGCACTGCTAGGTGCCATGATTATCAAGAGGTGGTGTTGCCCTCCAGGAGCTTACAAATAACCTAGAGGCAGAAATAAGATACGAGCGAGTCAGGCAGCATGTGATATTTATACAGTGTACCCTGGGACATGTGGTGGCTGGCCAGAGAGGTCCCAAGTGTCTGGGAGCAGTCTCTCTCAGCAAGGGGGGAGGAGCTAACACTTGCACAGACTGTGGACCGGTGGAGCATTTTCACTTTGGCTAAGCGGGAGCTGGTGTTCAACTGTGGGAAGCAAAGTGCCTGGACCAAGGGACTGGACTTGGGGTGAACCCTTTCCTCATAGACCTGGGGTGGGGGGTTCTTTGGACTCTTCTACCTGCCCTTCCCCTCCCCATTCCATCTCCTAGAAGTGAACCTGGACACTCAGTGGCACCAGAGGCAAACACTCTCCTGGAGACAAGGGTTGGAGACCCTGTGGCAGGCGAGGTGTTGCACCCCTGGGTGTCTGCCCCAGAGTTTCCCGTGACAACTTTAAAAACTCCCTTCACAAAGATCACTCTGCTGGGGTAATTTATTGATCACAGCTGTTATCCCAGATACATCCTAAGACAGGCTGGCGGGTGGGGGGAGTCCCACCTCCTCAGCCCTGGGTTTGGAGCCTGTGCCGGATACCTTTAGTTGTCAACTTGATACACCTGGGCAGAGGGCGCCTCAACTGGGGAACTGCCTCCATTGGGCTGGCCTGTGGCCATGTCTGTGGGATAATTTCTTGCTTGTTGAATGATGTAGGAGGGCCCAGTCCACCGTGGATGGTGCCATAATTTCTTGATTGTTGAATGATGTAGGAGGGCCCAGTCCACCGTGGATGGTGCCACCCCTGGGCAGGTAGACCTATGTTATATAAGAAAGCAGGCTGAGCAGAGATCAGGGGAGCAAGTCAGTAAGCAGCGTTCCTCCATGGCCTGTGCTCCAGCTCCTGCCTCCAGGTTCCTGCCCTGAGCTCCTACCTTGGGCTCCCTGATGAACTGTGACCCAGGAGATGTAAGACAAATAAACCCTTTCCTCCCCAAGTTGGTTCCAGCCCCAGCTGGAACACACTATATAGATCAGGCTGGCCTCGATCTCACAGAGATCCACCTGCCTCTGCCTCCCGAGTGCTGGGATCAAAGGTGTGCACCACCACGTCCAGCTTTGGTCAGAGTGTTTTTGTCACAGCAACTGAAAGTAACTAAGATAGAGCCTCACAGATGGTGTCTCCATCATATAACCCCTCCAACAGTCCAGGCTGCCAACTCACACAGCCTGGGAAACCTCAGTGGGTCTTGACTGTTTATTCTCACATTTTGAGGTGTTTAACTCTGAGTGGGGTAGGAAAGGTATGTTAAAAGCCAGGGAAGGTGGGCAGCAGAGTGGCTCTGGGCAAAGGGAACCCCAGGACTGAGGAGAGCGAGGTGGTCCACTGGCATCAACGATCTTTGTCCATGCTGGCAGACATTGGGTGCCGACTGATCAGAAGACACTGCTGCTGCCCCTGCTCGACAGACTGCACAGGGCTAGGCCAAGAAAGGCTCAGGAAGGGGGAGCCCTCTGGATTTCAGGGGCAGGAGGTCCCACAAGAAATGAACAGGACAGGAAGGAGTATGGATAGAAGAGAGCACTGGGAACCCCAGGCTGTGCAGTGAGGAGAAGGGAGGCCGTGGATGTGAGTGAGGTTCCCCATGCCCTCTCCTCCAGGTGCTCTGGCCAGGCACCCTCCCAAGGCACGCAGTCCTGGAATCCCAGAGAAGGGAAGCTTCTGTCAAGCCAGGCCGGCACATGCCGGGGCTCAGGGTCTCAGCAGAAGGCGTGTTCCTGGCCACTTGAGCCACAGGAAGGGGACCAGGCGCCGGGTAAAGGTGGCGGTGAAGGTGTAGAGGAGTTCCTGCGACTCTGCGTTGGTGAATGTCACAGTGCCCCCTTCATAATCCAGGGCGATGCCCACTCTCCGGGGCCGCAGCGCAGGGAAGAGCTGGGCCTCGGGGCTGGTGTTGGCCCAGATGCCCAAGGAGGAGAGCCGCAGTGCCCACACACCGTCCTCAGGCCGCAGGGAGAGGTCCCCCTTCCTCTTCACAGAGTCTCTGGCCACTCCCACCATGCAACTTTCCAGAATGTCCTCCACCTCTTCCTCCTCCTCTTCCTCTTCCTCCCCTAGGGATTCCTCATCTTCATCCGTTTCCCAGTCTTCATATCCGTCCTCATAGCTGGTCTCCTCTTCCTCTTCCTCCTCTTCCCCGTCTTCCTCCTCCTCCCCACCCTCCTCCTCCTCAGACCAGCCCTCCCTCTCCACCTCCACTTCCCAGTACACCTTGCCCCAGGTGAAGCCCTTGCTGCCCAGCACCCCCGGCTCACAGTCAAACTGCTGGGGGTGCAGGGAGTCACTCTGGTACTGGCAGGTGTAGGTCACGCACTTCCAGTCCTCCGACAGCTGCAGGTACCCACTGGCTGACTGTGGGTCCAGGGTGACATTTACTGTGGGGACAGAGGAAAAAGTAAGTGTCACTAGTGGGCTGGAAAGTCTCCTCGGTGTCTGTATGAACTGTGCACACCCTAGCACTGAGGCTGAGGGGGTACGGCAGGGGTCTGGCAGGACAGCCTCGGGCCTTGGGCTGCCACTGTCCTTCTGAAGAAGGACCATGTGGTCAGACAGAAGAAAATGGGGCTAGAGTCAGGACCTCTGAGGATCAAAAGGACATGGATACTGCAGGACACACAGCAGATTGGTCAGGAGTAAGGGGTGGGGCTGCCGGGGGACAGAGGGGCCCAGGAAGGGTCCCCACAGCAGGAGCTTTCTTTATTTGAGGTAGAATGGGAGCCACTTTTTGGTTCACTCACCTGTCTTATATTCCAAGTCTCTCAGCAGCTTTCCTAGGGAGAAGAAGGGGTGGGAATGACCTTCAGGCCCAGCAGACACGAGCCTGTTTCTTACTTGGTATTAACTCTGGACAGGGCTCCATCGCGATCCCAAGAAGACGACACAGAAACCTGGAGCCCTTGGAAGAACAGGCTGGAGAAGGCAGTGGGGCGCAGCAGGCAACCACCAAGTGCATCCAGCGGACCCCGACCTGGTGCTCTCCCACCTCTTACCTTGGAACTGCCTCAGGCCTCGCTGCAGAGAGAGGAGTTTATCTGAGAATTCTCCCGTCTTTCTTTTAATCATGTGAGGGATGGCCTTTCCAATCCAGAACTTCTTCCGAGGGTACCTGAGAAGACAACAGACAACTGAAACTTGGCTCTTCCTGCTTTTCTGTCAGTCTTCATAAAAATTGCAAGGAGTCAGGAAAGGTTTGACGATCCCCAATCAGGAGACAGAAAATCAGTGGCCAAAGATGCTGCCTGAGCCAGGACATAAGACAGGACACCAGCAGAGCCCAAGCCAGGCTTCGACCCTCCTGTCCATGCCACAGATGAGGACAGTGAGCCCAGGGGACTCCAGCGGGCATGCTGGCGGACAGTGGTCTCCAGCCCCAAGCATTGCTTCAGCTCCCCAAAGGCCAAGGGAAGAAGCAGGGGCTGTGGTGCCTTTAGCACCTATCACTGCTCATCATTCACATGTACCGCAGTCAAGGGGGGCGGGGCGGGGGGAGTGTGGATGAGGACCATGGAGCAAAGGAAGCTTACCTGCTGCTGAAGTCCCTGGTGTCCTGCAGAGAATAAAGCACAGGCACAAAAAGAATGAGTGAGTAGACATTCACACAGTCAGAACCCCCTCAGAGGCAGGCTGCAAAACACGAAGCTCCCTCCCCAGGGAGGCGACAGTACAGTGGGGCATTGGGTAAAAGAAAACAAGAAAATAATTCAAGGACAGAAGCAACCTGAGGTAGCAAACGTCAGGGCCAGCATCGCCAAGGAGACACTTAAAGTTTGAAGAATGAAGAAGTACCAGCTGGGTACAGACTATAAGAACTGGGCTTGGAGAGGAGACAGGGAGGGAGGACCACATCATGCCAGGCTGGACGGGATGGTGGTGGATCTTATTGTGTGCACCACGGAAAGCCACTGGAGGGTTTCAAGTGGGGGAATGGCATGTGTGATCTGCTGTACACAAGGGAAATCTGGCAAGCATCCCTGGGCACCCATTCTCCTTAAAAGAAAAAAAGTCTTGGTGGCCGGGGAGGGGCTGGTTGCATACATGCCAGGAGGTCAGAGGGCAACTTGTAAGAGTCTGTTCTCTCCCTCCTCTACTGTGTGGGTTCTCGGGATCCTGGTCATCAGGGTTGGCACCCAGAGCCTTTACCTGCTGAGCCATCTCTCCTGCTCTCTCCTTTCTAATACTGAACCCCTGGAATTCTGGCTGGGCACATGGTCACCCAGGAAACTACATTTCCCAGAGTCTTTAATAATTAGGTCTGGTCATATGACTAAGTTCCAATGGGGCAGGAACCAACTACTGACCAAGATTTCTGGGTCTTGTCCTTTAAGAGAAAATTGCTTTCTCAGCCCCCCCTCCATCAGCTGAATTTTGGACACTGCAATGATGAGTCCAACTTTAATCACATAGCTGAGAGCAACATGCTGCTGACCTATCAGCTGGAAGTAAGCCAGCTCCCTGGATGACCTCATAGATGTCTCCAGACCCTGACCCTTGAACTACTACCAAGACAGAAATGATTTCCACTCTATTTGAGCCAGCGTACGGCAATGAGCGGAAACCCTGCATCGAGTGCCCAGTGACCTGCTCGGTGTGAATGGCAGCTGCAGGCAGAGGGACCAAGGAGGCCAGCCTGCAGGCCGCTGTGGGCCAGGGAGAGATGGAGCTGGTGGCAGGGGACACAGGAAAAGCTGCCAGGCCCAGGACTGCTGGAGAGACTCAAGCAGACACACTGGTCAGGGTAAGCGAGGACAGGACACCTTGCGCAAGGGTCAGCGGTGCTGTCTGCATGAGGGAAAGAGGTGAAGGGACATTGGGTGGAGGGTTCCTGTGTGACGCTCTGGTGAGGCTGACACCACCACAGTCCTCTGGACTCACTGATCCTTGTCTTCCTCGTTCTACAATCTTTGCTAAGTGCTTCTTAGATGCCAGGCACTGAGCTAGAAGCTTGGGAGGCAGTGATAAAAAAGAAAGAATCCCTACCTGTGTAGAGCTGGCATCCTAGCCCAGGAAGCAGACAAAAACATAACAAATACACCACGTTAGTAAATGATCAGTGCCATCCAAGTCAGTGAGTGTGGGGGACGGCGGAGGGCAGGCTGGCTTCCCAGAGAAACGAATGCAATTGCCAGACTGCTGGTAAGGACTGTTGGGGGGCGAGATTCAGGAAGAACTAAGGGGCTTTGCTCCAGGGGAGGCAGGACAAGGAGGTGGAGCCACCCCCTGCCCCCACCATGAAGCAACAGCCTGAGGCGGTTTATAGCAAATCTTTAACCAGCTCTCAAAACAAGCACAGGGACGGAGGACAGAGTGACAGAACAGCCGCTGGCTGGGAACCGTGGCACAGAGCAGGAGCAGGGGCTGTAGCGGGGCAGGGGGCTGTAGTGGGGCAGGAGGCTGTAGCTGGGAAGGGGCCAAGGAGGTGGGGATGGGGATACATGGGAGCTGCCAGAAGTAGACAGAATCCAGGGAGGAGCCAACCTAAAGTTTAAAGGCTGTGAGCAGCCAAGACAAGGGCAGAAAGATGGGGCCCAACCAAGGTGCACACAGAGTCTCCAGAGGGGGGCACCTGCCTAGGGCCCTGGAGGACCTTTCGCAGTGCCACCCCTTTAGAACAGGGCAGTGAGACAGGCACAGACAGCCACAGTGGGCAAGGCAGGGGGTAGGCCTGTCCCTTGTAGGCCTCTGCATCTCTACTAGATTTCTGGCCCCTACCCTGGATCCAGCCAAATCACCTCTGGGAAAATACTGATTATTAAGGAGTTAGTTGTCCAGTTTCCTTGTAGACAAATCAAACTCCAGCACAGACAAGACCTATTAGCACCAGCATCTGTGCAGTGGTTTCAAGCAGACACCCCCTTTCTCTTGCTGCTTCCGCACGACAGGCCCTTCAGGAGGAGAGCCTCTGCCTTGTGGCAGCAGAGACAAGGGGCAGGAAGCTGAGACCCAACATTCTCTAGACAGACACTGGTGATAAGTGCCAGCACCCCAGCCACTCCACAACTCACATCTGCATATTCACACATGAAGGAGGAGGAAAGGAGAAGAGATGGGACAAGGGAGAGGCAACACCTCAAGGCGGGTCAATTTTTGGTGTTTTTTTTTTTTTTTTTTTTTTTGAGACAGGGTCTCCCTGCAGCCCCAGCTGTCCTGGAACTCACTATGTAGACCAGGCTGGCCTCGAACACACAAAGATCCACCTGCCTCTGCCTCCCAAGTGCTAGGACTAAAGGCATGTGCCACCACACCCGGCCATCGTGTCAATTTTTATGCAGCCTTTGGAGCAACTGAGGAGGGTGAGACTATTATCCTCAGGTTTTAGACAATAAAACTGAGACCAGAGGACCCACCTCTCACAAGGCCAGATGAAGGAGTGGCGGACCTGGCCCTACCCTCTCTCCTGCCCCAGCCCCATCAGGCTCTCACCTGCATGAGCTCTGCAGCTGGCTGCCGAGCCTTGCCTTCCAGCTCAGAGATGACCAGAGCCAGCCGGCCTAGCTCGCTGATGCCCCGGGTCTTGAACTTCTCCCTGCCCTCGGTGAGCAGCTGCTCCAGGGCGGCCAGCTGGTCCAAAAGGTGCTGCTCCCGCTTCTTCAGGAACTGGTGGCCCTGCTTAAACTCCGCCACGATGTACTGCCTCTGTTCCTGCAACTTTGTCTGCAGGGGCAAGAGGAGGAGATGGATGACAGCTCCGTCTGGTGCAGGACTCAGGGCTGGCTCAACCCCCTGGTGCCTTCCATTGGCAAATTCTCTGGGTCTTGAGGCAGGAAAACCACTGGTGCTCCTGCTCCACCCAACTGTCATCTGTCCAGTCCCTCCACTACCACAATTGACCCTGCCTGACTGCTCGGTCACTGCCTATTCCAGGTGGCCAGTATGTACTAGGGCCATGAAAGGAGCCCCACGTGTCCCATTAATGACACTTCACCCTTCTGGACAAAATCTCCGTGCTGCCTCTTCCGGGAAGCTCTGCTTGATGGATGCCATCCAAGCTTGACCAACCCCTTCAGCACCCATTACTCTGTACATACTATATGTACCCTACCTCTGCCATGCAGAGCTGTACCTGCTTCCTCAGTGAGGCTGGAATGCAGGTACTCAGGGACATGCCCTGTCTGCAGGCTGGCATCTGCACAAGTCCTCAGGCCCAGGTGGCCGATGCTGGGTGAGGGCATCCAAGCACACACTAGGATCTAGAGGTACGTCTTAGATCTGAGCTCTGTCCAGCCCCTCCCTCTCTCTCTCTCTCTCTCTCTCTCTCTCTCTCTCTCTCTCTCTCTGTCTCCATCATCTCCATCTCTATCTCGGCCTGGTCACATGCAGCTGGGCCTGGCCCCTACATCTGCACTGTCCACTTCCCCATCACACACACACTCCCCCAGACCTGAAACCACCTCATCAGCTTTCCTGACTGAGACACCTGATTGCGTGCACAATGTGCTCCTTGCTCCCTCCTGGTCACTACAGGCCTGGGCCACACTAGACTTCAATCAGAGCTGGCCAGGCCTTCCATGTCCCATTCCTCTTGGTCTCTACCCTACAGCTAGTGTCTCCTTCCCAAAGCCCCCAGCTGCCCTCCACACCATCTTTGTCCACTCTTGGAAAGGAAGAATGACGCCGGGTTCCTCAGTACCCCAGCAGAAGAGTCACAGTTTCCAGACATGGCCTTGCAGCTGAGTGAGAGACCCACAGGTAAGGGACCCTGGCTGACAACCCACTGACCTGTCAGATGAAAACATCAGGCCCAAAGCCTGAGGCACACAGCTGGACCACATGGACAGAGCCTGCACCTGCCAGGCACCTGCCAGCAGCAGCCCAACACCCTACTACAAACTACTCCTAGAAACCCCTCCCACCTGCTGGCCCTCCCCACTGATGTGCAGCACCTCTGAGCTCCAGCCACCTCCACATACCAGTGCAGCGAGGATGTCCGCTTCTCCCTTGGCCTGAAAGCCCTGAATTTTGTCTCTGTCTCTCCTTAGGGTGCTTAGGTGGTTCAGGATTTTTTCCTGTGTTGAGACAAGCAGTAGAGAGATGGGTACCCTGAGCTGTGGCAGGAGGGACACCAGACAGAACCAAGCTGGGGAGGGCTGCAGGTGGGGAGGCCTCAGGCTGGGGAGGGCTGTGTCCTGGGGAGGACTGCAGGCTGGGGAGGACTTGGCTGGGGAGGCCTCAGGCTGGGGAGGGCTGTGTCCTGGGGAGGACTCAGCTGGGGGAGGGCTGTGTCCTGGGGAGGCCTCAGGCTGGGGAGGGCTGTGTCCTGGGGAGGCCTCAGGCTGGGGAGGGCTGTGTCCTGGGGAGGCCTCAGGCTGGGGAGGGCTGTGTCCTGGGGAGGCCTCAGGCTGGGGAGGGCTGTGTCCTGGGGAGGCCTCAGGCTGGGGAGGGCTGTGTCCTGGGGAGGCCTCAGGCTGGGGAGGGCTGTGTCCTGGGGAGGCCTCAGGCTGGGGAGGGCTGTGTCCTGGGGAGGCCTCAGGCTGGGGAGGGCTGTGTCCTGGGGAGGCCTCAGGCTGGGGAGGGCTGTGTCCTGGGGAGGCCTCAGGCTGGGGAGGGCTGTGTCCTGGGGAGGCCTCAGGCTGGGGAGGGCTGTGTCCTGGGGAGGCCTCAGGCTGGGGAGGGCTGTGTCCTGGGGAGGCCTCAGGCTGGGGAGGGCTGTGTCCTGGGGAGGCCTCAGGCTGGGGAGGGCTGTGTCCTGGGGAGGCCTCAGGCTGGGGAGGGCTGTGTCCTGGGGAGGCCTCAGGCTGGGGAGGGCTGTGTCCTGGGGAGGCCTCAGGGGGGAAGGCTGTGTCCTGGGGAGGACTGCAGGCTGGGGAGGACTCAGCTGGGGGGGACTCTGGGCTGGGGAGGGCTGCGGCCCCTTTACCAGGAGGACTGACCCTGTGCGGCAGGGCGGCCTTCTCCACCAGGACAGCCGTGTGGGGCCGGTGCTCCCGGGACTCGCGGCACATGACGCACAGCAGCTTGCCATCGTCCTCGCAGTAGTAGTGCAGCTTCTCCTGGTGCCGCTCACACAGCCTCACGTCCTGTGGGTCTCGGGCCTGCTGCCCCGGCTGCCGGCCCTTGTCCACCTTCAGCCGCTCAATGTTCTCCACCAGGCTGGCCAGCTGCCACACAGGCCGGATGTTCTCCTTCTTAAAGGGCTTCTTGCACAGTGGACAGACAGGGCGGCTCCCAGAGGATGGGCGGATGTCACTGGTGCAGCTACGGCAGAAGACGTGGCCGCAGTCGATGGTCACCGGGTCCCGCAGGTAATCCAGGCAGATGGAGCAGGTCACCTCCTCCTCCAGGCTCCTCAGGGGCCCCGACGTGGCCATCGTGCCCTCAGCTCGGGGGTCCCGGTGCCCTGGTGGGGCTTCTCCTCCTGGAGACCAGACCTGGAGTCGGAGCAGACTCAGCAAATGGGCAGGGGTGGCACCCGGGCCCAGGGCTGCCCGAGCCACCCCAAGCCAGCCCTGGGCAGCCACCACTAACTCCCTCAAGATGCACTTAAGGCCAGGCCTCTGGCGTTACAAATGAGAAGCCAGTCAGACTGGCCTGCAGGGTGCAGAACAGAGCCCCAGTCCTCCCAAGACAGTTTCTATCTCTGGAGAAGTTGCTCTAATGTACCAGCTGTAAGGGAGCCTGCATCAGTAAGTGCTGGAGGTCATGACAAGATAGGCTGTACCTCTACCCTGGTTCTGACCAATGGGAAGACTCCTTGTGTTTGTCCCCCGGGGTTCAGGTGTGAAGGGCTAAGAGCACTAAGGCTCTTTTCAAAAAACATGTATTCATTTTTATTTTACATGCACGTGTTTGCCTGCATGTATGCATGTGCCTGTAGAGCCAGAAGAGGGTGTCAGCTCCCCTGAAACTGGAGTTCCAGGTGGTTGAGAGCTGTCATGTGGGTGCTGGGAAACAGGTCCTCTGCTCTTAATGGCTGAGCCATCTCTCCAGCCCCAGCACTGAAGAAACCTCAAGAAAGCTGAGCCTGGGAGTGAAGATCTGTAATCACGGATACCTGGGAGGCTGGGGAGGGGGTTCAAGTCAGCCTGGGTTACCCAGAATGAATTCGAACTCAGCCTGAGCAACTCTGTGAGATCCTGTTTCAAAACTGCCTTAGTGCAGGGCATGTGTCTAGTATACTCAGGACCCCTGTATCACCAAAAATGAAAATAGGAAGCTTGCACGTTGATGTCACTCTTGGGTGCCCCCTCGCCCCTTCCCCCCTCCAGCTGTTCTATTTGGGTGCTGTTCATTCCCCATGGGAAACTGGATTCTATTTAAACTGGGCCATCAGCCAAGCTGGCCTGGCCACACTGGATGCTCTCTCAGCTGGGACTCCCTTATCACACTGGCCTAGGACTCTACTGCTACAGGAGCGGACTGCCCCAGCCAAGCTCAGGAGGTAAACCATCGTGGGAGGAATCCTCAGTGCCTATGGCTGTGGCTGCAGCTGCTCTGGGTTAGGCAGGAAGGTCCTCCCAGGGACACGGACGCTCAACCCAAAGAGGACGCTGTTCATGTCAACCTCTGCAGCCCTGGCCCACTTCCTGCCCCAGCACATCTGACCCAGCAGCTGCCTCCTGCCCTGACTCTGACAGCAGAGAAGTCACTGAGTACTAAGCCCCAGTGTATCCATCTACAGAATGGGGGGAGTGGGACTCATGAAAATTCTAAGCCGGGTACATGAAAGAATTATGTTGGGAGTACTAAGCACAGGCTTGGTCCACAGAAGCAAATCTAGAATGCAGACCCCAGCTCCTCAGTCCACTGGATGACATCATAGAGACTGAAAGTAACAGAAGACCACAGGTGGGCAGAGCCGCCTCCTGCCCCAAGTGCTCAGTCACGGTAAACGAGGTCCTCTCGGGGTGGCACAGGGCACGTGGCTCTGCACAGGGACCTCAACACTATCACCAACAGGTACAAGGGGGGTCCGTCAACAGGGTTCAGTGGTCTACACAGCCCAAAGAGAAAACAAAGCAGGAGTTCAACGTTATCCCTTAAAGGTCTGACATGGTAAGACATAAAAAGTGCTGTGCGTGTGACAGCCCCATACAAGCGTGAGACCATGAACCAAGCACCCTTGGATTTAGACGTTTGTGACTTCAAAAATAAAAGTACACACAAAGTTCAAATGATTAACTGGCAGATGAAGGTACTATCAAGTCCCTTGGATGCTGGCAGAATGTCAGGACTTGTCTGATCTAATTCCTTGGTTTGCTTCTGAGGAATGAGGCTGGCTGGCATTCTCAATTGAGCACGCTGCGGAGGGTTTGAAAAGAGGACACTGGTGTCTGTGGGCTTGAAGCCCTTTCTACCACACTTGCTAAAAGGTCTAGGTTTTTGCTGTTGTTGCTTTGGGGATTCTTGGGGGAAGAGGGGGGCTTTGGGGATAGGAATTTACTTTGCAAGCTCCCTTACAATCCCTTTTCCACATAAAATGTGACACCTTCACCACTAGAAGCCCTCATTAATCCAAGTTCATGGTGGGTCTTTACAGAAGATCAATAGCATTCACCAGGGCCTAGGCTCTGGGGGAACAGGAAGAGTTATCAGCATTTTGTAACTGCCACTGGAGAACACGAGGATCATCAACAATAGGTGAAAGGTTTGGAGCAGTCCCCGAGGTGTCAAGGTTGATTGTTCCCAAATGTTCCTTGATGAGGAAGAGATACAGTGGTCCCTTTAGCAAAGTGACCAAAGCAAGCGGCATCATTAAACAGAAGCAAACTCGCACAGGCTTCCTGATGTGAGCCGTACAGCTACCCATGAAATTTCCTTGCCAAAAATGTTGAACTTGAATGAATCTAATCAAGCCTTTAGATATAGCTTTCAGGTTATATAAAACACAGGAAATTTTAAAGAGCACTGTAGTAACTTACCACAGAGAAGGTACTGACAGAGGAGTTAAACCACGGAGGAAACAACCAGACAAATCCAGAATGTGGGGCATCCTACAGAGCAAATGGTCTGGTCTTTGAAAAAGACCAAGCTAGGGCTGGTGAGATGACTCAGCAGGTAAAGACACTTGCCACCAAGCCTGACAACCTGGGTTCAATCCCCAGGACCCACATGGTAGGGGGAGAGAGCCAACGCCTCAAAACTGTCCTCTGACCCCCCCACACACAAATAATTATTATTATTGCAATAAAAAAATTTAAAGACCAGTGTGATAACAACAAAATGCAAAAATAAACCTTAACTGGATCCTGGTTGTTCAAAGACAGCTATAGGGGCTGGAGAGATGGCTCAGTGGTTAGACCTGGGTTTGGTTCTCAGCACCCACGTGGTGGCTTAAAACCACCTGTAACTCTAGTTCCAGGGGATCCAACACCCTCTTCTGGCCTCTGTGGGCACCAGGTATGCACATGGTACACTTACATACATGTAGACAAAACACCCATTCACATAAAACAAAAATAAATCCTTTCAAAAAATAAAATGATACCTATAACAAGTTTAAGGACTATTAAGAGAAATGCTAGATTATTTGGGAAATAATCTAATGTCATTTATTGAGAGTATGTTTGGAAATCCCCATTTTTCAGCAACGGATGTTGCTATGTTTAGAGCTTCATGGCCATGATTTAAAGTGAAATGGTTTGACAAAGCAAAATAAAAAGCTTACAGGGAAAAGAGTTATGCTTTTCTTAAACAGGGTCTCCCTGTGGCCCCAGCTGGCCTGGAACTCCCTATGAGACCAGGCTGGCCTTGATCTCACAGAGATCCGCCTGCCTCTGCCTCCCAAGTGCTGAGACTAAAGGTGTGCAACACCAAACCCAGCTTATCTTTATGATTTATTTATTTTATATGTATGTGCCTGAGCATAAGTATGTGCACCATGTGTGTGCAGGTGTGCTTGGAGGCCAAAAGGCATTGGATCCCCTGGAACCAGAGTTACAGGTAGTTCTGAGCTGCCATGTGGGTGCTGGGAACAGAACCTGGGTCCCGTGCAAGAGCAACAAGTGCTCTTAACCGCTGAACCACCAGTTCTCTAGTCCCTTCTGTCACAATCTTTTTCTTTACTTTTTTTTTTTTTTTTTTTTTTGAGACAGGATCTCCCTGTAGCCCCAGCTGGTCTGGAACTTGTTATATAGACCAAGCTGGCCTTGATCTCACAGAGCTCCACCTGGCTCCTAAGTACTGGGATTAAAGGCATGCACCGCCATGCCCAGCTGTAACATTCTTAAAAGGGTTTGTAACCCTCAAAAATGTTGAAACTATAGTGTTCAGGGCACTTGAAATCTTGTAGAATCTCAACACACACGCTGAACTACGAAATTTGGACAACTGAAGCCAATGTTAATTGCTGTTTTGAGTCTGCCATAACCAGATAATCAAAACAGTCTCAGTTCTATGTTCGATCCCACTACTGGACTACACAGACTCATCTTGAACACGCTAGGTATATACATCACACACAGAGGGGGCACCTGTGGGACTGCTGAGTACACAGAGATAAGTTCGGAGGTGGAAACACACTGCTTCAAAAATCCAGGTTCCAGTTTGGCTTCTGGAACCAATAACCCGTTGACCAACCACTTCCTGACAATGGAATCTGCCATTATGCAACTTGGGAGGATTCAGGTTCAGGATACTCTTCTGAGCTTCAGCCCTGTTAATCAACTTGCCAATAGGCACATGGCTAGGAAGCGGTCCTGGTGCCAAAGCCTCAGCCCACCCATCCCTCTTTCCTTACTCCAGCACTGCAAAATGGGGCCTGAGACCAGCTCCTCTGGTGGATGCTCAGATGGGCTCATTTTCAGCAGGTTTGGTAAGTTGAGCAGTGCCAACCACCACACCAGGGTGTGTGCTCTGCAGATACGACCAAAAGCACCCTAGCCTATCACAAGCTAACATGACGTGGTCCTGGGAGACAGCAGGTTTTCCTTGATAGTGGTAGAAGACAGTTCTAGACTACAGAATCAGAGGCAACAGGGAGGAGGGTGGGCAAAGCCGAAGAGCACGCCCCTTTCCCACACCTGCTTCTGTCAGGCCCAAAGCAAGTCACTCGCTCCAAAAACACCTGAGATTTTTGTTGTTGGTTTTATGAGGCAGAATCTCACTACTACGTAGCCCAGGCTGGCCTTGAACAAGATATCCTCTTGCCTCAGCCTCTTGAGTACTAGGATTGCTAGTACTAGGAGTACTAGAATCCTACCTCTATGCCAGGATTCTAAAAAAACCGTTTCACATCTATCACACTTTCCCATGGTTTTATCACTCCTGCCTTGACTATCTTCACAGGTTCCTACAATAAGGGCAAAAGCTTTATCCCTCCCTTCCATTCCTGGCTCTTGGGCAGACAGAAACCATGGGGAGGAAGAGCCAGGAAAGGCCTCAGTCCTGGGTAGTTTTATTGTCAACTTGATACAACTTGGAGTCACCTGGG